TGCAAAAATGCTTATATTTCTATTCTTAGAGTAAGACAGAGGAAAAAAGCAACATAGTGCTGTGATCATGAGAGAAGAATTTCTTTCAAATATTTTCTTTTCCTCTTTAGTTAGATTTACAACATTCTTTAAATATAAAATAATTATCATTTTTCTTTACATTTTGGGGGTACATTGACTAAACCACAGTATTTAAATGCATAGATTTATTTCTTATTCTGCTTACTAGAATGCACATCAACACATCAATGCAATACAAAAAGTACAATACAATTCTAAATGTCACAGAGTTTTTTTCAAGTTAATAAGGTCTTAAAAAAGAATTTAGTATAACTAAACTATCTCTCATACACAGAATTTTGGGGGAATGTAGTAATTTGCTGTATGTGGAAAGATTTTTCAAAAGTGGCAGTGCGAAATGGATTTGTATTATTAGTAGGAGGACAGTGACTGTTTTGAGAGGACTCCTTTTTAGCAATTTCATTAACTTTAGATAAGGTACTAAAATCTCTAAGGAGCACCCCGTGGAAGAGTTGTTATTCTAGTGCATCACATTGGCCGGAATACAAGTGCAATCACATTAATTATCTCTAACAATGCACACAATGATAAAGTTTGAAAAGTCTCAACAGGATATCCACCGTTTTTCTGGTAATGCATCTATTTACAGAGCACAATTAAATCTAGATAGAAAGTCTAAGAGCCCTGAAACGAGGCTTCAAAATATGTAGTACATAATTTTTAAAATACTTTCCATCTGTGATATGTTTAACACACTTCCTGTGAATATGTCCAGAAGTTTTGTGCTAATTAGTAGATACTTTCTTGAGTTTGTTACTGTAGATAAGAAATTACCACAAGAGTTTAAAATGTACTCTTAATGTGACACAGTTCACAGAAACAATATTTCTTAGCACTGAAACTGTCTTTGGTCTTTGATATTTTGAAAGCATGCTAATTCTTCCAGCCTTGAAAGTAATAAAGAACCCTGGTGTGTAACGTGTTACCTGTTGTGCAACTAACCAAAGGTCGCTGGTTCAAAACCATTATCTGTTTGTCAGGAAAAAAGAGACAATATACTCCTCATAAGATTCCAGTCTCGTAAACTCAATGGAGGGTTCCCATGAGTCAGAAGTGACTCAACTGTAATAGGTTTTGTTTTTTTAATTTTTCCAAATAAATTTTACTTTACAGTGAATAATCATCATTGAAAGCTATGATGCTGTTGTTAGATGCTGTCAAGTATGACTCATAGTGACCCTATGAAAATGATTACAGATATTGATATTTTTTATAAATAAATCTTTATTGTGCTTGTAGAAATTGTCATTAATTTTGCAGGAGATATATAGTTTTTCAGTTTAAACCTGGTTACAGTCATTTGAGTCTTATTTTCCCTTCAAAGGCCTCCTGTTGCTGCTGGCCCTTAAATTTAAATCTATAATAGAAATACTGGATTGTAAAGACCCAATTTATGCTTATTGACTGAATTGTCAGAATGAAATTGTTCAGAAAATTACAATTTACTGAGAGCTCGTCACTGACGTGGCTTGGGTTTTTTTACCCAGCTTCATTTTCTATGTCTTCTTTCTCTCACTAGATTTATAAGAAGTTAAAATTTTTGATTAACATATTTCATAACCTGTCATGCAGTAAAGTCAGGAGCAATGGCAGAGGACAAAAATTCTTTGCATATCTTCTTATATGTATCACTCTGACTTTCTCTTTACCCTTGAATGCGATGGTCTTATTAAAAATCTAGTACATTCCAGTATAATCTTATGCGATGGATTATCCAAAATCTAGTACGTTCTTTGCAGATTTGGGGTTTGGAACCCAGTTTTACTCTCATGAAGTGAGCTTCCCTTATTCTCAATAACAATATCCAGCTCCTTTCACTTCTAGCTCCTGTGTCCTCTTTCTCCCAAAGTACAAGTGACTAAGCTCACATGTTTATGGACTAGTTTGCCAAGAGAACTGCAGAGCATAGGCACTTCGATTTGCTCACCACCCTGTTCTTCTCCTCTGCAGATACAGAGGAGGAGCTCAAGAACTAATGTTGAACCAATGACCAAACCTTCGATCTTTATTGTTTCCAAAGCATCTACTGAATGAGCAATAAAAAGCAAGTGTAAAGACATACTTTGCTTATTTAAGGTTTGAATGGTTGCTGATCCTTTAGAAGCTTGGTCCCATCTAGGAAACATCATAACCTTTTTCTGTCCCATAGTCAAACACTGAGATTGGAGAGGCAATCTTTGTTCTGTTACATACCAAAGCTTTTAACGAACTTCATTTTTCTGAAAAGTATTCATAAAAAAGAATTGGCTGATGAATTTAATAATAAATAACCTCTTATATTTTTTTCTCATGGTTCAATCCTAAATGTAAGAATGGCTTCTCAACTTGATTTGGTGTAATGTAAACATTGTTGATACATTTGCAGGGGCTCACAAGTTCTTTCTACCTATCAAGGCAGCTTTATCTTTAGATACGTTCTTATTTGTTGCTTAGATACTTGAGCAAAATTAGTTTGGGAGAGAGAGAAGAGTTCTGAATGAGAAGTTTTATGCAATAGGCACTGTCTTTCCAGTAATAATGGTAAAGCATCATTTCAGAGGCTGTTGTTTATTGATGTATCAAAATTAAAGCAGACTATTGTTACTCAATGACATACCCTGAGAAAGTGTCCTGGTAGTGTAAGTAAGTCCACAGGAAGTTGCACTTTTAGCACAAAGATAATGCCTCTCCAGTAGTTTGAATCCACCAGAGATCCTAGGGTGTGGGTGGGGGCTGGGAAGTCTGACAGTTTCCTCCCATGTGATTTACAGCCTCTTAAAATCCACTAGAGGGTCAGCTTTGTGTTAGCTCTGATATGATGACAATGAATTTAACATACTTTGAAAAGATGCTTTGCAAGCACAATTACTAAATGCTCAGCTATTAACCAAAAAATAGGTGGTTGGTACACACCACTTATGCCATAAGAGAAAAAGACTTGGTAATCTGCTCCAATAAAGACTGCAGCCCAGGAAACTGTAGATGGTACGTCTACTATCATTCAGAGTGGCTCTGAGTCAAAAGCAACTCCACCGCACACAGTAAATTAAGTGCTTCCTACGTGACAGGCACTTAATATACACATTTCCCCTTCTTATCCCATAATCTGTCTTGGTATGAGAAAGGTAGGTTGTCTTCAAACTATTCTGATAATGCACCTTTCTCAGGAAAAACATTTTAGATATACCCTCCAGAGCAGGGGTACATATATTTAGTTACAAACACATATTGTTGTTGTGATAATGGTTACCCATGGTGGACAGTGTTGGGTGGAGCTCCCCGATTAAAGCAAGCTTGGAAGCAGGAGTGGCATCCACTTCTGAAACAGCTTGCCTCTGGAAACCCTATGAACTTGGAGAAACGACGCAAGTTATACAAGTATTCAGGTCTTTCTTTCATAAGGTCGCTATGAGTCATCTACAACTCGATGGCACTTAAAAACAATGCTGTTGTTATATGGTGTTGAGTCGCTTGCAACTCATAGCAACCCCATGTACAACAGCCCAGAAACCTGCCAAATTTGCTGTCTCTGACACACCTACCCTCATTACTCCAGTCTCTGAATCAATCCATCTCATTGATGGTCTTCCTTTCTTTCTCTGTCCCTCTACCCTTCTAAGCATGATGTCCCTCTATGTCAGATGAAGCTTCAGAATCTTTGCCTCCAAGGAGCATCCTGGCTTCACCCTCTCTAGGATGAATCAATTTGCTCTCCTAACAGGTCATGGTATATTCAATACTCTTCTCCAGCATATTACCAAATCAATTATTATTTTATTTGTAAATTTTTAAAATTAGATCTTTATAAAGGACAAAATAAAATGAGATGTTTCAAGTATCAGTCTAATCATAATGCATTCATAGGATAATTATTTAAAGACGCAAGGAATATTAAGAAAAGGCTTACTGTTAATAAACCCCAAACTTACTGTTTCACAATGATTCTGACTCAGGAACTCTCCACTGGGTTTCTGAGGTAGCAAATCTTTATGAGAAGAGAGTGTCCATTGTTCTCCCTCAGAGTGGCTGGTAGATTTGTACTGCCGCCCTTTCAATTAGCAACCCTAACACACTATGCACTACACCACACCACACCACACCACACCACACCACATGATAAGAACTCCTTCTTATCACTAATATATGTTTAAATTACATTTCTAAAGGTCTTGGGAGTAACCTTTCTGATTAACACATTTTTATATGCCTGATTGGAATGTATGTTTACTGTTTTTATAGTTACAAAGAAGAGCAAGGGTTAGTCTGGACATATTAGGGTGATAAGAGTGAAAGGAAACGTAACAGACCTCCTAATATTACACATACTAACTGAAACGTCCTGTGGACTTCTTAATATCTCTCTCTCTTTATCTGTCTATCTATCTATCTATCTATCTGTCTATCTATCTATCATCTATCTATCATCTATCTATGTTGTTTACCATTGAGTCAGAACTGACCCATAGCTGACCCTCCAGCAGGTTTTCAGAGGCAGTTAATAGCACGGGAGAAAATGGCTCATCCTTCTCCCATGATATATATACATCTTGTGAGAAAATATATACAAACATATATA